AGTGATTTTCTGCCCTTTTTATGTTTGTTTAGTATTTAGACTGCTCTTCTGCAAACTTATACTTTTTTGCTGGTTTTTCTATTATACTTATTCTTGCCAATTTCTAGATGCTATTTATATATTATAGAGATATTTTTCCTTATTTATATTTATCTTATCTGTTGGCTTTATTTATATTATATTTATCCATTTCAGAGTTTTCCATTTTGACATGGACAGACAAGCCTCTTTTCCCAGTGTTTTCACTCTTGGCTAAGAAATATCTCCCTGACCCCTAGGTTGTACATGTATTCTCTTAGATATTCTAGGAAGGTTTTTGAATTTTTTAATTGAAGCCCTTAATCCACCTGGAATTAACGTTTGCATATGATGTTTAAGAACTTTATTTTCTTCCAGACTGTTGTTGTGCCAGCCCACTTATTCAAAAGAATGCTCGACTACTGGATTGAACTATTTTTGTCGGATTTATTTTGCTTCGTAACACCCTTCAGCCACACCTGCCTTGGGCTATGATCAAAGAACACAAATGGCTAATTAAATTTGTAAACAATTCTTTATTCCCCAGAGTGGTGACTGAGTAGTGTCTAATCTCGATTTACTTCCCACCTCACCCCCAATGGCTATAGGAGGCCTGAGATGGGTTCTTCTGGAGAAATTTTAATTCATTTGAAAGCCAGTGCCTCCCTGTTGAGCCTGGGAAATGATAGTAACTTGTTAAATGCCTCCTGGAAGCACAGTCCAGATGCTTTGGCAACAAGTTCTCTCCAGGGAAGAATTTGTTTTAAAATGATACTTCTCTGAGCTGCCGTGTGTGTGTGTGTGTGTGTGTGTGTGTGTGTGTGTGTGTGCGCGCAAGAGAGCCTTTCAGAATTCAGGAAGCAGTTGCAAGTTGCACTTAACTTTGGACTCGTTTAACTGAAAGTGCATTTCCCCGTTATTTTTTGGATGACGGGCACACTTTAACATACTATTCATAACATGCATGTGTCCATTGCTTTAAAAGTTCCCTAATGACACCAGTAGGTCGTTTTTAAAGACCTAGAGTAAATATCTCTTACCTTTTTCTTACCACCCCGTAAGTCTTTGGTGACACTGTCTTCCTGGTTCCTCTTAATTCCGCATGCAAGGACCAACGTTAAATCTTTTTAGTAAAAACATCGGGCAACGTGGGCCTCAGGTCTCCATGTCAAAGCCCAGACTGTGTGCATAATGGAGGTGAAATGGGGAGAGGAGAGAACGCACAGCGTCCCCTCTTCTCTGGGACATGTCTTTACTCCATGAGGTTCGTGTCGAACTACAACCGGATCGCAACCCTGCATTGGATGAGGAACTGTATTAGGTTGGAGTCGGGCGTGTGGAAAGGTTGTGTCACTTCTCCTTAGATCTGTCCTTCTCAGCCCCTAGGAGCCGGCTCGCTCCCTCCTCTTGCCGTGGGCCCTGCACAGGGTCCAGGTCTCCCCCGGATGGATCAGAAGCTCATCTGAAGGCTCCGCCCCGAGGGCTCGGATCCCCTGCTTACCTCTCAAGTACTGCAGGCCCACCCCGTCCACAGGGGCACAGCCTATTCTTCGCCCTCAGACCTGCCAGCAAGTCCTGGACAAGGAGAGAAGTGACCATTCCAGGAGTCACCCCTCCTGCTGCAGCTCAGAGTTTCCTAGCTCTTCCCCATCTCTGACTCCTCAGATGATCTCAAGCCTAGAAGAGGCCCCTATACATGTCATATTTAGGACTTACTGAATTCTGTGTAGCTACACTGACCTCATGGGAAGAAGTGGGAATTATTCCGAGGCTGGGGGAAGCCAGCTCAGCGGTAAAATGTTGCTGGGATTTGGTTGCACCGTTTAGTCACAAGCTGTTGAAATATCACACAAGGATATTTCCTCAAAGATTTTTAGAGAGAGTGGAAGGGCGAGGGAGAGACAGAGAGAGAAACATCGACGTGAAAGAGGCACATCGGTTGGTTGCCCCCCACACGTGCCCCGACCGGGGCAGAGGGTCAAGCCTGCAACTGAGGTCTGTGCCCTTGACCAGAATCAAACCCATGACCCTTTGTTCCTTGTGCTGACGCTCTAACCACTGAGTAAACCAGCTAGGGCACATCTGATGTGTCATGAGAATATATTTAGTGATGGATGTGGACAACAGGGGTTGAGGGTGAGGGCAGGATTCGGGGGATGAGGGGACATTGGGGAGATAAGGACACATTTGTAATATCTTAATCAATAAAGGGAAAAATACAAAAAAATGAGAATATATTTTAAAATGGAAATGAACATGTTTCACTGATTCTAAGGTGCATATTTTAAATTCTCTGGAATTGGGGCACGTCATAACGAATGCCATGCCCTAGTCGAATCAGCTGGACTTATTTTTCTTGGTCGTGGTAAAATAATGATTGAGTTACAAGCAATGGCATCCTGAATTACAGGAATGGTGATCCTTCCTCAGAGTGCCTCTGGGGCAGATCATTTAACGTGCAGAGCACACGTGGGAAGCGAGGACTGTCCGTGGACGCCCCAGAGCAGGGGAGGGGGAGACCATCGAAACTGAACATGAAGGGCTGTTCTCTGAACTATTCGTCTCTGTTTGAGAAGATGTCAGGGCTACGTTTAAATTCAACAAAAGAGAAGGGGAGGTTCCCTGTCAGGACGCCTGTGCTGTGATTTCTCCTCCTGCTCCCTTTCCCTCTTTAGGGAGCAGCTTGATGCCTGTACCCCCAGGAGACTCCGACTTTGAGAGCAGGGGCTGTGTCTTCCGTGTTCATCATCATGTTCCCAGCATCCAACACAGCTTCCAGACTGTCCCTGAGCAACACATGGGTGTTCCATGGAGCCTGACTTAGGAGCTCCTTAGTACACACACATTCACAGTGTCGTGGTTGAATAGTGGCTCCCAAAAAAGTATGTGTCCAAATGGTTGCAAAGTTGTCACCTTATCTGGAAAAGGGGTCTTGGAGATGTCATGAACAGTCTTTTTTATGTATCTGTATTGTTGGAAGTGTTACCGATGTCCCCTTTGCTTTCTCCCCATTGACCCCCTCCACCCCACCCCTGCCCCTTCCAGGCCTCCCACACTGTTGTCTGTGTCCCTGGGTTTTGCATATGTGCATATAAGTTCCCTGCATGGGGAATCCCTCCCCCTCCCCCACAGATGGCTCTAAGTGGGCTGTTTATCCTTTGAAGAGGAAAAAGGCGGAGGGAGATTTGAGACAGAGAGGAGGCCGAGATTGGAGGGATCCAGCCCGAGGCCAAGGTCTCCCTGCCCCACCAGAAGCTGGGAGAGGCAGGCAGGGTCTCCCCTGGGTCTTTCACGGGAGCGCAGCCCTGCTGGCGGCTCGAGTTTGGTCTTTGGGCCTCCAGCGCCGTGTGTGAGAGAACCAGTTCCTGTTGGTTTAAGCCACTCAGTTTATGGAAACTTACTATGGCAGCCATAGGAAAGTACTGCACATACAGAGACACACATGCGCAGAAGCACACACATACATGTAAACAGACACACGTTTTGCCGGCCTACAGTTGAATAGATGCCAGGGGCCCACTGTGTAGGCAGATGTTAGACGACGATGAGTGAGTAATAGGCAGGGGAGAGCTTTATTCGAAGGCCAGCGGATACCACCCAGAGCTCTTGAGCAGGTCCCACGGGAAACAGGCACCAATGACCAAGCTCGTTCTTGAGGAGCGAGGAGCTGGGAAGGGTTGGGAAGGCGGAGATGCTGCTCTTGATGGGAAGGTACTGAGCAGAGGCCCTGAGGGGTGAAAGGAGAGGAGGCCAAAGGCATGCTGGGAGCAGATCCCGAAGAGCTGTAACGTGCCGAAGTCTGACCTTCATCCTGTGGCCAAACTGGTGGTTTTCCTCCCCTACCTCCACTTCGGGACGCAAATGACAGATGGTGCCTTAACACAGCCCACTGGTGCCCCAGATTTTGATGAACTCCAATGTGAAAATTAGTGCATGATGAGGTGCAATGATGTGTGTTCTGCTAACAGGTAAGCTACTCGGTCAGTACCAGTCTCCCAAGAGGCTCAGTGTACACTCTTTGGACCTTGTGCACGTCCTCTCAGCCAATGCTACATCATCTCTCTCTCTCTCTCTCCTCTTAGAATTTGAATGAGAGACCACATTTTCATAGGGAAACTTGAGTCCACTCCAGTTTTTAAGAATCAATTACTTCACAGACTTTAACATTTTACAAAATACTACTTTTGAGCAGCAGAGTCTGCAAATAGTTCCGTGGCCACATCACACATTGAAGACCGGCGTGCAGACAGATGACTCGTCTCGGCCGCTGGAGGGCCTAGCACAGGGCCTGTGACCAACGCTCCTCAAATGCTCACGGATGCGAACCCCGAGGGGATGTTGAAGGCTTTAAATATGGGAAAGGACCAACCAGAGTTAGTCTCTAGAACAGCGGTTTTCAACCTTCCTACTGCCGCGGCCCTTTAATACAGTTCCTCATGTGGTGGTGACCCCCAACCATAAAATTATTTCTGTGGCTACTTCATCACTGTAATGTTGCCACTGTTATGAATCGTCATGTAAATATCTGATATGCAGAATGTATTTTCATTGTTACAAATTGAACATAATGAAAGCTTAATGATTAATCACAAAAACAATATGTAATTATATATGTGTTTTCTGATGGTCTTAGGCGACCCCTCTGAAAATTAGGTGTGGCCATGGGATTTGCTCCATGTATAGTACACACACATTTTAAGGTGCACATTTTAAATTCTCTGGAATTGGGTTGTTCGACCCCCAAAGGGGTCACAACCCACAGGTTGAGAACTGCAGCTCTAGAAGGATCGTTCTGGTGTCATTTTGGACGATCATTTCCAGTGGGGAAAAATTTGGGATTATAGAACGACAACTGTTTGGAAACTGTAGGGTTATAATCCAGAAGAAAGATGGCCTCTAGGCCAAGCTAGGTAAGTGGGAATATAGAGGAGGGGGAATGGGAAGTATTTTGAAGGTGAGATTCCCAGGACTCATGCTTGAGCATGGGGCATGAAAAAGAGGGCAGCGGCCGTAGTTCTGGGGTTACTGGCTCCGGTGCTGATGCCGCTGGAGGTAAGAGCCCAGGTGGTGGCAGTGCATTCGCCGGGGAGGCTGTGGTGACACCTCCCCAGTGTCAGTACTTTCAGCAGCAGAGGCGCATGTGTGCCTGGTGCTCCTACGTGTTTATCACGAGTTGGCTGGGCAGGGGTGGGGGGGGTATCGGGGGGGTCCTGCTCCAGGCCACCACCCTCACTGCAGGACCCAGGCCTGTAGGCCCGGTTTATGCTGCCACACATGTTGAGGCAGGAGAGAGAACATGGCAGATCACACACTGGCTCCTTCCAGCTTGAGCCCAGAAGTGATGCACCCAACATCCCTCTAACATTTCCTTGTTAGCAGTTAATCCCATGGCCGCACCTAACTCTCAAGAGGGTAGAGATCTGTCATCTTTCCATATGGAGTCTCCCCATGACTCCATTGATGATGGTGGTGATCATGGAGGTGTGGGAAGGCAGCATGTTCATCTGTGATGTTGAACCTGAACTATTTCAGGGAAATTCAGTTCAGAAGAAATTGGGAATCTGGGCTTGTGTCTCAAGAGCATTCAGGACTAGAGAAATAGTATGGGAAGGTTTCAAGGTAATGCTAATAAATCAAGCCACAGGAGTGGATAACTTTGATGCGGGGGGGCGGGGGGGGGGCTAGAACCTGTTCTAATGATGGTAAAAAGTCAAGGTTAATAGTTTGTGGTTACAAATATGGCAACCCCGAGGCCATATTTTTTTTAGTAGCTTATTATAGACTTTTAAATAATTTTAAGTGACTGTTGGCATAGGGGTGGAATTAATCACTTAAACGGCATTTAGCTTTTTCAGACTCCCAAATCGCTGACTCGTGTTTAATCATTTAAAAGGTGCCTTTAGATTTTGCAGTAGGATTTCAGCCAATTTTCTGACCTGGCTAGGGAAGAAAAAGTATTGCTAAGAATAGTCATTGTAGTTTGAATTGAAGACCAGTCATAAGTTGATTGATACTTGGATTGCTGAGTACTCAGAAAATTAGAATACCTTATAAAATCTTCTGACTGGCTGTGCTTCAGACAGAAACACGAGGTTAACCTTGCTGTAAATGATATTCTTGTTACAGCTCCAGTTACTGGCAGAGGGAGGTGGTTAATAGCGCTTCTCCCCATTGGCCAGTGTGCGTGCATAAGGAGACATGCTTTTTCTAGTCCCCTTTCTCTTAAAAGGTTCTTGCGCTTTTGCCTACCCAATCTCCACCAGGGTCTCACTTTTTAAACTTTTCTCGTGGAGATATGTGATTACCCAAAATAACCTCTCCTCCCTTCAAGATGATGCACTTATCAGGAAAATGAAAAACAAACCAACCTGCTTGAGTGCGTGTCACCATTATTTCTTTGATGGCGTTTTTTTGTTTGTTTGTTTTTTAAATATATTTCTTTATTGATTTCACAGAGGAAGGGAGAAAGAGAGAGAGATAGAAACATCAATGATGAGAGAGAATCATTGATTGGCTGCTTCCTGCACACCCCCTACTGGGGAATGAGCCCACAACCCAGGCATGTGCCCTTGGCCCGAATCGAACCTGGTACCCTTCAGTCCACACCCTTCTATCCACTGAGCCAAACCAACTAGGGCCTTTGACGGCGGTTTTGCAGCATCACAGGAGCAGTGATGGTGAACATGATGATGCCTGTGTAAGTAAATGAAGTTTATTTTAGAAACCCCCCCCCCCCCCGTGTCCTCAGGGATCTACACTGCCTCTGTGCGTCAGCAACGGAATTGAGTCCTGGGGGCACAGGTCAGGAGCCCACTCCACCTAAATTCTTCATCTCTGGACTCACCCTTGCCCTGAGCCGGCTGTTCTTGCCCTGTTCTCTTTGGGAGAAGTGTCGTTTGTTTACATGGATGGAAGCAGAGATGTCCACAGAGGCTGGAAAACGAAGGTGGACATAGACCCGTCTCCCCGACACTCACTTAGCAGTGGTCTGATGAGTGGTAGCTAGCTCTTTGAAAAGGGGGCAAGAGAGATCCCAACATAAACCCCTGCAGACAGACAATGTCGTGATTCTTTATTATCTTATCCTTGTCTCTGTGTGAAATGGCTTAACTTTCATCTTAGGCAGGATCTCCAGGGCGCTCTCAGAGCATAGCTGATCCATGCAAACTGCGTTGTCTATGTGACACGCATGGCGTAGAATCGGGAAAGGAAAGCCACTCCGTCACCACATAGAATGAATTTCAACAACGTCATTTCTACATGATATGGTCTCTTTATCATCCACAGACCTTTTATCAGTGTCCCAGGAACAGTCTAGGGCAGGGTGGGAACCTTTTTCCTGCCAAGGGCCATCTGGATATTTATAACATCATTCCCGGGCCACACAAAATAATCAACTTAAAAAGTAGCCTGCTGGATTTGGCCACACATCTAATTAACTCACCCCTAATGCCTTGGCAGGGCCAGACCAAATGGTTTCGAGGGCCTTACACAGCCCAAGGGCCGGATGTCGCCCACCCCTGGTCTGTGGAAATAAAAATAGCAGTTGGGGAACATGCCTGCCATCTGTAAAGCAAGTGGGAAGAGCCAACAAGCATTAGGCCCCTGTCCTCAAGAAATTTAAAATTAAATACTGTATCTTTTATGACTAACTGTCACTTTTTACAACTGTTAACAGTAGATTTGAGAGATTTAAGAAAGAGAACTGAGTCTATACCAGTCCTGAGAGGTATTAGTAATCATCGATTGCTTTTCTGTAAAGCAAGTCTAGTTGTACAGTAATACGATAAGAAGGGGGAAAGCTGCATTAATATGTTTATATTTCCTCTTTTAAAACGTTTACTTTTCTATAAAGCCAAAGAAACTATTTTTTAGAATATGGAGAGCAGGGTATATGATAATATCAGTAGGACTATGACTTAAAAATGTACTTGATGAATCGTTTTGTTGAATCAGCTTTTAAAATATGCAAAGGTACATTTTGAACATGGAGAATTTCGTTGACGGTTCTGAGATAGCCAAGTTAACGGATTTCTTCTTAGAGGCGTCCACAGGACATGACAACCAGAAAGATCACTTCCGTTCGGTAGTGCGTATTCAGAGATTCTGTGGCTTCAAACATGCAGGAATGACTTGTGTAGTAGATGTAAATGAACGGCCAGAAACCCACTCCCTGCTTCCTACTGCATGTCAATTAGGCGGTGACGGGTGCTGCTGAGCCGAGGGAAGCGGTGTGGCTGCTGTCTGTTGTGCTTGTCGCAGGAACAGCTTATCGTCTTAAATGCAGCGAAGTCACAGGGGCTTGGTGCTCTCTCTGCAGCCGCACAATCGGGGCCTTTGATGGCTGTGCAGTGGAGCCTGCTGGGATGAGGCACACAGCACCTGGCCCTCGAGGAGACCCTGCGGCCCCGTTCCCATTGGGAGATGGCTTGGTAACACATCGGGGCGAGATTTTTCTGTTTTCGTTCTGCACTTCATTGAGTTTCATCGTCCGTGTGTCTTGAAAATTTGACTCCCACGTGTCCTTACCTGACAATTACAGGAATTGCACGGGGATTTGAGGAAGTGCAATTTGAGGTGGAAGCAATGATCATCATTCCAGAAGCCTCAGACGAATCATCTGATGAGCTCCCAGGTGTAGCGGCGGGTGGAAGACGGAAGCCCAGGGACCATATGCATCGCCTTCCTCCGGGCTTTTTATTTGCTCGTCTTTTGTTTTGGAAATTGTTATTCTTTGGGGCCCCAGTCAGGCACGGGTCTCCACCCCAGTGCCCTCTTGACCTGCGTGTGAATTTGGGAAATGGAGGAGCCTTTCGGAATGTGTGTCCTTCTGTGAGGATCCCAGTTTCGTCTGGGCAAAGTCCCCATCGGCCCCTCTTGTCCCTGCAGAATCAATAGCAGTGCCCTCGCTCATGCTCCGAGGAGTCCTGGTTCGGGCAATGCGTTATATGGACGTCCTGTTTGTATGTGAAATGGAGATGGTGTGAGGGTGTAACTGTATGCAATAATGTGGAAGTGAACATCTCAGTTGCTTTGGTTCACAAAATAAATTTTTTATTGCAGCAGGTAACCTTGGATTCCATAACACTGAATAATTTTATTGTGCGCGTGTGTGTGTGTGTGTGTGTGTGTGTGTGTATTACATACAAAATACACACTCTGAGGAAGTCTCTGAGAACTGGAGAGGCTATTTGGTGTAGCCACTTACTGTGTGTTGGTAGTCAACCTCCTCCGTATTTTGAAAGGAATAATTACTCCTGTATTTACTACTTTTGAGATTTTTTTCCTGCACAGCAATGTCCCCATCTGTTATTTGAATAAATCTGAAGGCTGTGGTCCCCTCGTGGCAGAGCATCCGTTAACATTTAGAGCAATTCTCTTGATTAACAACATGCATTTTTTACCTCAACATGGCATTTCCTGGGATAACATGGTTTTGCTACTGAAATGATGATTTGTGAGAGTAATTTCTATTGTGCTACTGTGGTCTCATGATTTTTCCTAGAAAAATGAATCCATGTGATTTGATTCTAAGATTATTACACATGCTAATTAAATGTTTAGAATTTACTGTAGGGATTTTAAACTACTTTTAGGAGGTGGAAATAATTTGTTATGCTATAGTAAGATGGTTCATTTTGCATTAGAATATTTCAAGACATACTAACCCATATTTGCACATTGAATTCGGGCAGTTTAAACAAGGAGTTGTTAGCTTCAGCCATTCAGCTTGACTTGGACATCTTTCATTGGAAGATTTCTGGTTTATATTCAAAGGCAAGAAATTATTAATTCATGAATTCTAAGTATTACCATCTACAATAATTTCCACAAGACTTTTTATTTATATCGTTCCTTTTCCTCTTCTTTTTTTTCCAAATAACCATGTGAATATGTGAATGGTGCTCTGGGGGACTAGATACCTCCATTTGAGGAGCAGGCGCTGTTAAGCGTTTCTGGTGAATGATTTTACACGTACATCCTGGGCTACTTTTGCATAAATTCTTTTCTATTCCTATAAGATGCTCAGAAAGACCTCTCTGTGTTAGTTC